TTACGGCGCATATTTTTATACTGAAATTTGGGCCATCAATTGTGTGTTTCACATTGTCTCTCGTTCCGCACACTCATACCGTAAAAATAATTCGCTTCTTTAATTTTATCGTCTGTATTTGGCCCGCTTTTGCTTTCAGAAATTTATCATAACTTAATATATTTGTCTTCAACGACTTGGTTCAGAAGCTACTGAGCTCACGCACATTGTTCTAATTGCTCTTCGGAATCATTGTACGATGTTGCGTACGGTTGTGGCCGATATCAGAAACCAGCATCAAGTGACCATATGAAAATACCATTTTCGGAATTTAATGTTTCAATTTGTACATGAGTTGGTAAACTGGAATTCATTTTTTTTCTTCTTTATTTTGAAATTGTCGTTTCGATACGATGGAACATGTTACATGTTAAAAAGCCCCAAAGATAACTCTTCCCTATAAAATTACATTCGATTTCATTGTTTTGTTTTATAGCATAAAGAACCAAGTCGTAAAAAATAGAAGTACTTAACGCTTTCAGTGGAAACTGTTAGAAACTTTATGAACAAAACCCTTTTTCGATACGTTTAATTCAGAATGTTTTTTTTTTAATGGCGAAACTCAACGCGATCACGTTCACAAGAACAATGCTTACGAACTGGTATGACGACTTTAAGGACTGGTGGAATTCGACGGAACGCAATTCATTGTTCAAATGTAGGTTTTTTTTATTGTACCAATTGGCTGAAAAAAAAAACGTTTTTGCTTGAAAAATATATTCCGTTCCACAAGGTATTCATTGATCAGTGTTGAAAACACGAATCCTTGTCGCATTGGCCTTGTTGGATTTCAGATCAGCAAAATTCTCACCGTGATGCGCGTGTTTTAACCGATCAAAATAGCTCATTCGAAGTGTAATTTTAGAATTTACACCAACATGCGAACGATATGTGTTATTTTGGAATGCTCATGCTTAAAGACAGCGAATGCGGTCGCATTTCTTGTGTTTTGTTGCGCGATGAGCATGAATTTTAATTTAATTTCAGCAACTCTGACAGTCGAGTTTTTGTTACGTTTGTCTGTCGTCATCGTCGTCAATAAGGAGACGCTATTCATCAAAATCAATTTTTTTTCTCATTGTTGTACGGTATCTTGTCATTTTTTTTCATGCCAAATCGAACCGTAGCAACAACGAAAAAACTGGCAATGTTATGCATTTTCTTACGTTCGCTTTAGTTTTTATCACTTAACCAATTTAAAGATTTTTTTTACACAAAAAACACAAAGAATTTACGGCACCGACAGAGGAAAGTAAAAAAAAAAACATCAGCGCATTATTTCGGCATATTCTGTATCAGTAGCACTTGGGATACCCGTCTCTTAGTTCCAATCATTGGTCAAATCACACTATTCGGTCTCATCGACTCGGTTGAATCTACCGATAATAATAATGTAATGGAAATATTTTGCTTTTTTTTTATATATATATATTCAGGTTTGTTTTCGATTCTGCTTCTTTATCTACCGCGTTTGAGAGGGAGCAAAATCAAAGATTCGAAATAAAATATCAAATGGAAACAAAACAAAAAACGATTTGTGGTCAGTGTTTCTTTGTATGGTGGTTTTTCTGCACGGTTTTTGCCATCAAAATCATTCACAGACACAATTCCGTTGATTTTTTTGTTTCATTAATTTTAAATATTTTTTTAAACAATGTTTTAGTTCAAACCTTAAAGGTAATGAGCTTGCATTCCACTGAAAACTGAGTTATATGAAGAGTTTTTTTTAGCATTTAATTCGATTCCAAAAAAAGATATTCAATACCAACACCAGCTTTGTAGAAGAACTTCTTTTTTCCGTTAAAATGTATATTTTTGATTTTTATATATTTGACATATTTTAATGAATTGAAAATAGAGTGTCCAGTCCTCTTCATTATCAATTGCTTCAATATTATTTGCGACGCAATGGCTATTGTATAATTAATTCGCTACGAAATGATTGGGAACTCCTGCTGTCTACGACGGGTTATCTTTTGTTGTATGTGCGTGAATGTTGCGAAAAGTGCAAGCACGTTTACAATCGTGTCAACGAATCAAGGCATTCATTATTATGACCACCACAGCCAAAGTACGAAGAAAAATAAAAAAAACTTAACTCCATGTACCGTACAACGGTCACTAAACATATGTGAGTCTGCACAAACTCTGTTCGCGTTTTATTCAGTAATTTTATTTATTAGTTTACACAATAATTCGCCATTGAAATATATGTGCATAAAATTACCGGCGCATCGAAATACAATATATCCGCGAGGTGATGGACATTTTCTGAATTGTCTTGTGTGCATGTGTTTTTGTTTTTGTTTTGTCTTTCACTTTACTCTTTTCCTTAGCGTTGCGTTCATTTGCTCAAGTATTTCTTTTTATTTTCATCTGTCTTGGTCGTCGCTTCAATGTCTTTTATCTCAACGATTATTATCATATTGACGAATGAGGCGAAGTTCGAGAGAGACTTTCGATCAATGCAACAATTGCGTAGAATTGTTTAACAACAGCCGTGTTTACAACACAAATCATAAAATCGATACGGCGAATGTATTAACCGCATTTTGTCACATGTGTCAATGTTCATATTGAGGCGATGAGTTGTATGCACACACGCTATCGTCGACTTTGTTACGCACCGTGAAAACTCTTTCAGAAAGTTGTTGTAGCGAGTGAAACGCGAGAAATATCATGTGAATTAAATTGTAGTACATTTATACAGTGTTATCTGAGTCAAGTAAATGAATTTTAATGCAAATGCCACACACATGCAACAAATACCGACTCGTCAACAATTGACATACATCAATAAAATCCGGTAAAAAATACTGGCAACTTGTGCGCACACAACAATGCACATATCTCTTTTCATTCGCGTAACCGTTTTTAATTGGGTTATTCAATTGAAATCTCTCGCATAAGTACACTTCATAGCTGACGAAAACATTTTTTTTTATAACATATTAAATGGGCTCAGAGTAAATAATGGGCGAGCCGCAGGATAGAGAGTATATTGAATATTTTCCGGTGATAATTTGAAGAAATACACGCAAAAGACTTGAAGAGACGACGAACCCTAATCTTATTTTTTTAATGCGTTTGCGGATCATTAAAAATAAATATTAATAAAAAAAAGAATGAAAAAAAAAAAGAAAATGGAACCAAGCCACCAGCAGCTAATATCATTAAAAAGAATTCAGTCAGCAGAACGAGCAATGGTTTGATTCGTTCACACGCTACATTTATTTGTCATTCATAAGCCAATGGCGATGCGCATTCAATGAATATTTTCTTCATTGTTTCACCGCATCGACAAACATTCTCACCACAACCAGCCATCACATTTGCTTTGACTCTAACATAATATTTGTCTTTCAGATAAAAGGCATTAAATTATCCAAACAGTTTATCTTCTCTATTAGTACTCTCTCTCTCTCTTCCCTCTCTCTCTCTTCAGTCTTCCAAACCGATATCATCAAACCAAGTCGCGAATGAATCTCGATTGAACAAACTAAAAAGTTCCCAATGTTATCCAGAAAATAGTTTCGTTTCCTTTAATTTATTTATTTTATTAATTATTATTGTTCCGCTGGGATTCTGTCTATGTTTGATATTTGATTGCAATTAAGTAATTAAATGTTTTGGTAAATTCAATATTTACGTAATTTATTTACGCTTTTAAAATTGAAGTTGAAAACACGGAACAAAAACCGATGAACAAAAGTCACGACCAAGCCAATTCAAATGAAAACATGTGTGAGAACGTTTAAACTGTGGATAAACAAATGTACAGCCGTGATCAAAGCGTTTTAAAAGTTTCGCCGAACGTGAACAACAATAAAAAAAAAAGATGAGAAGTGATTCATTGATCGGATGGATGGCTGTTCCTACCGACAAAGCCGATTGGATTACCAAACGCACTTTCAGCGCCGCTTCACTGAAAAAATGCCGTGATTGTTTTTATTTTCTTCTCTGGTGTTGGTTCTGTTCTGTTTCTGATTATGCGGCCAATTTCACACAATTGAAAGGTCGAAACGATTTTTGTTTGTCAATGCATACAGGTTATGCATTCACACACAACTCAAGTTTGTTTCAGCCAAACCAGATGTTATTAAACAAGCCAAAAAAAAGCACCTGAACCCTCCGAAGATAGATAGAAATAAAAACGCAAACTTGAAGCAGTATGTTGAAAATATGGATGAGAAGAGGTTAATTCTAACAGTAAATATTGACACATCTGATTATTCCAACATATACGCCACATTGAAAGTCAACGTAAAGTGGTTGAGTCGAGAGAGAAAAAAGGCAAACAGAAACAAAACACCAAAATATACACATGTTTTAAAAATGTGGACAAAAAACCAACTGTCAACCCAAGCTTATTCAAATAATTGATTGCACTGACTTGAGTCAGTTAAGGTGAATATTGAAACTGCATTTCAACGATATTGATAGCAGTCCTTTTATGTATAAAAAAGCCCATTTCCTGGTAAAATGAGCATAATAAACGTGTGCTAGTTGATAGGCACAGTTCATGCAGAGACATGTGTGCTCTCGGTACGAAGCGCATCGATGATATTTTAACAGATGACTTACTCTCAAGTGGCAAACTTCTTGCCTTTTTTAATGCTCAATTTTCGTTTTAAAAACAAACAAACATTGGTCTTTCAGTACTTTGCGCCATTAAGTGTATCATTTTGATAAAATCCATAAAGAAAACAGCAACATTTTTTAGAAAATAAATGTAAATAAACAGTTTTGGTGAGAGAGATTTTTTAAGTTTTGTTTACCTTTCATTCACTCAGGTAGTGTGACAGTATTTGTTTCTTGTTTTCAAATGATTCCCAATGGTTGAGATAGCTTATTAAATTCCTAGTTAAAATGAGAATTTAAAAAAAATTCAAATCATTCATTTGATATTGTGATGATATTCAATATTTATTTTTCTGTTTTTCTATTTCATATTCTTACAGGGGCATAGCAAAAGTTGGTGAACCAAATAATATATCACCGTTAACATCGAGCATCGTTTATATGGATCCGGCAATTCACACAACGCTACGGCGTAAACAACGACGACTCGTACGTGAGAATCCTGGTGTGTTGGCGGCACTAGTCAAAGGTGCAAATCTTGCCATTTCAGAATGTCAACACCAATTTCGCAATCGAAGATGGAATTGTTCGACGAAAAACTTCCTCCGCGGCAAAAATCTATTTGGAAAAATCGTTGATCGAGGTACGCATCACATTTTATTATCTTTGTTCATTCTACTTCAATTTGTGTTTTTTTTTCTCTGAAAATATGTTTTCTTTTAAAACTAGTTTTATTTCATGTTCCATTTGATCATTAGCATCATTGTCCTTTGTTCCCTTGATTGAATGAATTAAGTCGTCAAAGTTGATTCGTTGTGGCATATTACACTGCCTATAAATCTTTTCAGATGATCGCTTCCATTGGAATCGTTTCACACATTCGATTTAAAAAAATAATATTAATTACCCGCAATTAATAAAATGTGTCAAATTTGATGCGTTCATTTCAGTTAACAATAGATCTGTACCGAATGCATACAAAAAGCTAATGGCGATAATGGTGCATGGAATTTTTATTTTAGTCCAAAAAAAAAACCAACAACAAAAACACAAAATTCATAATGATTATGTGTTCGCTCTTTATACATTCATATAAATCATCTTCACGTAAAATAATTGCACACAAACACGAGACGACGCATTATTTCATGACGAAACACATTTTACTCGTTCAAAAGCCAGCATTATGATTCCATCTGGTGTGCAGTGCTTTTGTGAAATCAAAAGTAAATGAAATAAAAACAGGCTGCGAGAGAAACGGAATAATTTATATAAAGCCGAAAGTGAATGCTTGATCGATGCAAAAAAAAATAATCTTTTTTGAAATAAATTTTATGGCAATTAACTCATTTTGAAATGCGTTCCACAGTGAACAAATGCAGCGAAGCTAATGCACACATAAAAACGCCATTAAATCAATTGCACAAAATCAAAGACAACGTCAATTTACATACTTCATCGTTTTATTTTTCAAATACAATGTAATTACTATTTTCGGCGTGCGCACCATTTTATACTGTGCGTGTATGTTTTTTTGGAAAATACCATTGACAGATGAATAGGGCGCAACGCCATATAGAGCATTATGCACATTTCAATGAGTTTCATTCAGAAAAAAATAGTCGCATCTATTTTAAGCATTTGGTGCAAGCTCTTGCATTCAAGCCAATCGTTATAGAATTGCAAATCATTTGCATTCCTCGATATTTTCTCATTATTGTAAATGGATTTCCATGCAGTCCATTTGAAAATAATTAAAGTGGATCGTTTTTTTTAACAAAGCATTGCATCGATGGTGGTTTTTTTGACAGTCCATTCATTCTTGAATATGAATTTATTGCCAATTGGCCTGTTTCGCTCCTTTTTGCTTGCTTCTACCTATTTAATACGTGAATTCGTTGAGTTTCGGAACTGAAAGAACAAGAAAAGAAACACGTTTAAATTTGGTGATCCAAGTGTCAGTCAACGCACAGAGACGTATTGAGACTTTTGTATATATCCATGTCAAATCTTCATTTCCTTTGATGTTATTATGTGTTTAGCAATGATTTGGTGTTGTCATTGCCATGTTCGTTCATCAATTCTTATTATGAAATGAACAAGAGGAAAATGCACAAGAAAGAAAAGGAAGAGACAAGAGTTGCCAAAAAAATGTTTTTACCTACACCTTTGCAGAGCACCTTTAAATAAATTTAAACATGGAGAATGCACAATGGCTAGGCTTTTGTTAAATACTCCTAATGAAATCATCAAATTGTTAGAGCACCCGACAACATAAACGTGTATGTAATCTATTAAAAACAACCCATTGTATCTTAGTACTCTTGTGAGGTACAAATCTTTTTCCCATTTCTCTCACTATCTTCATTTTTGATGATTCTTTTTTTTCATCAGTTACAAAGCGATAAAGCATACAAAAATCGGTAAACGTTTCTATTAGAGCAAACGGAAAGCGATTTATGAAACGAGCATCGGACACACAAGCACCAAGTGTTCATTTAATCATCACATATCCACGTCACTGGTACTCATCTTTTTGGGCAGGAATATGTTTCTGTGCGCGCATGTAATTTGTTTGTATGTTGTTTTTATTCCATTGTAATGAACTGGATTATTATCTTTCGTTCATCTATCGTTTTGTGGAATTTAATACGTTTTGTTGCATTGAATTGCCCTCTCTGATCTTCCGAGTTTTAAAATTGAAAAATATCTTTAAATCGTAAAATATAAATAAGCGCCAAAATGAAAAATCTAGCAACAATGAATGAACTTGAACAGTCATATATAAAACTAATTTGGCACTTTAGTGAACAAAAACAAACTCGCCTTCCCTGTCTCTGCTTCGGTTGTATATTATACGTCTTGAAATTGCAAAAAAGGCAACAATAAACAATACAATTGTCCATCAAAAACCAAAATCTATTGTTATACCTTCAATGCGATGAAAGAGAGGGAGAGAGCGAGAGAGAGAGAGAAAGAGTCCTTTCAATAAGTACGAAAAATTGACATGTAAATATGGATTTTTGTTGTTTATAGCATGACACATACACTTTAGACTGACAAAATGAATGGTTTTCACTCCTTCCATCTCTCAAAACTTTCATTCATCGACATCGAGAAAATATTGTCTGCTAAAAATTATAAAAATCTCTCAGATTTATTGCCATACATTCATGTTTCCAATATTGGCAATTTTTGTTATGCCATGTTGCTTCGGTAGTGATCAGTGATCAGTACCACTAAAAATCCAATGAATGGGATTAACACAATAGCCGTTAAGAACCAAAATGATTGAAGATAGATATTTTCTTGTGTCTGTTATTTTTTTTCTTTTGTGTGTATGCGTGTGTATAGGTGCTGTTTCGGTTGTCATATTCAATTCCAAGCGCGTTTCACTCTCCTGAGAGAGATACGATCGTAAGCGTAACTAATATGCCAAGCTTCTTCAGAATGTTACCTCGTAAGGAATTTTGTTGTTGCCGATTTCTCGGAGACGTTCATTTTCAATTTTCAATAGAACGGCGTGTGCATTAATACAAAAATATTACACTAACGTTAAATGTTGTTGCCCATACACAATAGCTTCTATTACGTTGAAAATCTCTTCTCTTGTGCAAAAACAATATAACACTAATATACAATCTCTATGCATATTATTTAAAAACATTTTCGAGTTTCTCATTTTCTTTATAACAAAAGAGAAACCAACGGATTTGAATTTACTTTGGCTTTAAAAAAAAAGAAAGAGATTGTTTTTTAGATGCGCATTGATACGCCGAGAGTAAGTAAATGTTCGCAAAATCTCAATATCCAACAGTTGCAAAACATATTGACATTATACACAAACACTAAAACACGAATAATCCTGCATGTATCCGTCTCTATCTTCATATGATCATTTCATGTGACTAATTGAAAATAATAACATTCTTATCTCTTGGCTTTTTGTTTTCTATTGCTGCCTCGAAACATCAAACATTTCTATTATTTCCATTAGCATAGTAAAAATTTGGCATTATTGCAACCTGTAGTAAAATGATGGAAAGAGAAAATAAGATGAAGAAAAACACAACAATCTCTTTGAAATGAAACAATGCAAAGGCAATCAAAAAATCTATTGTTCGAAAAATAAAACACTTCCGATGAGATTCGTCTTGATGAGTTTATGATTCCCATCATCCAGTTTCAACCGGTTCATTTCAAGCGGGGAAAATAATTTTTTTCGGCAATTTACTTGTGCTATAATATGTGATATGCTAGAACGCCCCCAAAATTCTGTTTCTCCATTCTATTTGCAAACGGAAATCCGTGTGGTTAATTTTCAAAATTTATAATTGTTTTTGGCCAAACAAACTGATCATTTTGGTGCACACCCACATCTATTCATTTGTTAAATCTTGTGAAAAAAAATTGTTTGGAATGATGTCAGTTGACTCAGTTCATATTTCATTTAACTTTTTTCTTATGAATTGACAACATTTGAAACGCGAACCATTGTTGTTTCCAACTCAGACAATCGAACAATTAAGTCTAAAAAAAAAATGAGTCAAACAAAACTTAAATAGAACGCAAAAAAAAGTTCTCATTTCGATGGATTTTGTATTGTCATAGATATTTTGTTTGTTCCATAAAACAACTCCCAATCGCAATATGATGAGAATTTACATTGCGATAATTTGAACAAATAAAATTAGTCACTGAAATATGAGTAATTTGTAGTTCCGCACCCATTCTGTGTCTCTGACTTTGTTATCGGTGTGTCAACAATCAGTGCGATCGTTATTTAGAATTTTAGCTTAAAAATGCCTTATCAATTCATTTTTTTATTGTTTACATGAAGAAAAAATTGAAGGAAATTCATCAAAAATGTGTTAACAAGTCATTGTTCAAATAAAATAACATTATGTATACATATATCAATATAGAGTGTGTGAATCAGATTGTTTGCATCCCTGAGTCACACGACGTACCTCAGTATTTATGATGTTTCACGTGAAATCATTTGCCCAAAATTCAAATGCTGGAATTTAAGTATCATCAAGAAAATAAGTCAACTGATGTCATAAATATGATGTCGGATGTTATGCAATAAATTCAACTGGATTGTATGCAGCATTAGATTGAATATGTTGGGTCACATGAATTGCATGTTCTTGAATTTATTGGTATTTGGATCATAATCACATTCATATTGTAAATCATAATCCGAGAGAAAAAGATCGAACACCGTTCAATTTACCGTTGTTGCTGTAGCATAACACTGTTTGCATTGCTTAGCATTTAAAAAATCGAAGAAATGTATCAACAAGTCAATTTATTTGAAATATTTGCGCTGATCAATAATATATCGATTTTTGCGTTACAATATGAGCGTGTTCGAGATTTTCCTCTCCATTGATTCGTACCCGCAACACATGACCATCTTCAGTCGTCTCAATTACACATGTGGGTAAGCAAAGCATGTTTCCAAAGCAATAACTTTAAATTTAACATTTAGCTGAAAATTGAAGCCACACGAATAATTTTCTCTCAGCAGCAAGCAAAACCACTGACAAAAAGAGACAGAGAATATGAGCTTGATTCTCCCAACATGATTTCAATAAATCGATTGAAATGTTTTAGCACAACGACATAAATACACATTTTATCGGTTGTTTGGTGCAACAATTCACATCGACACATGTACCGTAGATCTTTCGCGTCTGTTGAACGCGCACAATATAAGAAGACAACATCCAACCGGCGAATAATAAAAACGAAACAACAACAAAAAAACTGATTATTATTAATAGCGTTTAATGCAGAGAGACAATCATTTTTATTTCGTGTTTTAAAAAAAAATCTATTTGTACTTCTTATAAATGTTCATTTCAGTATAATGTTAATCTGTAATCCAATTCTTCCAGCGCAAAACGAGATGCTGTCCAATAATTTTTGTGAATGCGCCAAAATATGAAAAATTTACATTGAAAAACACACTTCATCTTTTGCATCCATTCGTATTCATAATTCGTGAGCGGTTGTCGATGCGCTTCGCTCCGGTTCTCATCTCGATAACCAACAATGTTTTGAGCGTAAAGAAAACAAAAAACGAATTGAAAATTCAATGAAAACATTTATATCACACAAATGCAATGTTTTTATTATTAATGTTCTCTCAATATTGCAAACATATTCATTCACATATGATTCTTGATTTTTCGCTTCGGTCAGCGCGTTCATCGTGTCGCGACTGTATTTGTATTTGTGAATATGTGTTCGATTCACATGTAAATTGTACATATTAAATTGGCTCTTACTGCACTTAAATGATAATAATGTGTACAATAATAACAATAATATTCGAACACACATTATCTTATAGTCTGTGTGGTTGATATCCTGCTGCGTTCGACAACAATAACTGTCGACACACAGGTTTGTTCTCTCTTTCTCTTCCTCTTTCGTTCTATCTCTCTTTTTACGGTTCTGAACATGCAAAAACACCAACCAAATACACACATACACAAGATAAATGGTAAAAACCAATACTACATTTAACAAAACTTTATCGAGATAAATTCAATGCAATTCTTTGTTCGAACGCTACGAACAGCGATATCGCTATATTACTTTAGCGAGAAAAAAATGATTTTGGTTAGTTGTATCAACGAACGAACATCGGCGCTCAAAATAATGACATAATTGATTTGTTGATGGCGCATGAAGAAAAAAACAATAACGATCAACAGCACAAAAAAATTGAATAAAAATTCGATATATTTGATGCTCACTGATTATCAGCTAATCGTTCAAGTGTGAATTTTGAACTAAAGAAATCATCTGAAACCAAAACACAATCATCAACCAGATGTTTAGTTTTTTTTCATGTGGATTTCGAGTTTAAAGTATTAGTTCATGTTGTCTGAAGATTTCATGTCATGCGACGCGTTAAAAATTGAATTCGGTGAAATATTTTTTTTGGGGGTATGAGGTACGGGAATACATCTCCACTACAGTCAAACAGAGAAAACTCAAGTGTAGATGTCTTATAAAACAAAGGAGCAACGTCTTCTTGTACAAAGAAGAACCGAACCGAAAAGAAGAAACGGAAAAAATAGAGAAAAAAGAGTGGAACTTACTGGCTTGAGATAATGAGCACAATGGAAAGAAAATGTTTTAAAATATATAACTTTATTATGACCAATTTTGAAATGGTATTGGTTTTTTTTGGATTTGAACAAATGTTTACGGTTAGTTTCATTCATGCGCAAAAAATCCGTCACCATACTGAGTTCCGATGAGTAAACGATGAGAAAAAGTTGGTTAGAATGTGTGTCAACGATGAATCGAATTTGTTAATTTATGAATATATTGCCGTTGAGCCATAAAATGTTTCGACTAAGTATACGCACAATTGAAACAAATATAAGTGAAAAAGGGAAGTGCCAAAAAGGATGCTGACAATTCTTGGTGTTTCATTCAATGGTGCGATAACATATGGGCTGGTTTCTATTGTTCGCATGTATGAAAAAAAATACAATGTCTCTGTGGCGCTTTTGTTTTTACATAATAAGTGTAACATGATTTATTCCCTCTTTTTTCTTCATTTGTCAAGCGCTTGTATTCATTGTTAAATTGATCAGAAGTAAAAGTTATGTGAACCCGAAGACGGTAGTCATGTGGTCATTATTATCTTTCATTTGCAGTGAAAAGTAAATATTTCGATCATATTGAAAAGTTTCGAATGATTTCACATAATTTTTTCGAGAAATGTCTGTACGTCTTTTGTTTCCTATTGCATACAATAGAGCTCCTTGCATTTTTGTAATAACCGACGTATGGATCAAGAACTGCAGAGCAGAGAAATTCCAACAAATCACTGTTGTTAGTGTATGTGCGTGTTGTCACAAGTGATTTTTCTACAAAACACAAGCATCGAGAAAGTTACAATCAAAGAAAGAGATAATTGTAAATTCAACTCTTTACGTTGACTATAAAATACCACCAAAGTTGGTTGCTTCTTAACGACGAACATATCGATTCAGTCATAGAAGTAGAAGTGCATTCAGTTGGCCACACAGTTGTCTATACGCGTTCCCATTTGCACAATGCAATGCATTCATTTTTCATTGTGCCATCGACAATCGAAAATGAAAAAAAAAAAACGAAGATTGAAACCACAACAACGAAATTCAATTTGTAAACGAGATTCAATTCAATTAGCACATTTTCGAGACACAAAATGCTGAATGATTGTGCATTTTTGCTGAGCATTCAACCTGTATTAGTGCATTTAATTAGTTGCAGTTATCGCATTATATAGTTTTTTTCTCTCCTTCATTCTTTCAAACTTCATCAGTGAAGTGTATGAGAAAAATGGAAGGTTCCAATCCATTTGATTTGCTTGAATGCATTTGTACGATGGTTCGTAAATGAATGCCTGTCGATTGTGTTTTAAGATTTTTATATCATGACTTTAACTGTTCGTTGTCTAACTGAATTGTTTTGTACATGAAATAATTTGAATAGCTTGAATATAAAAATGTATAAAAAAATAATCATGGTTTTGATGCTCGATACTGATTTGCTCATGTCATCAACGATGAGTCGTCATATTTGGAATGTGGCTAACACATCAATTTATTACCAAGAAAAAGGTATTCAGCTCATATAGAGTCTTACCTTTTCTTCACTGAATACTTGCGCTACACCGCAAAGAAATAAAATCATTTTGACGATGAGAACGATGACAACAAATCGACATCAGCGACCTTAGTGAAAAATGAGTTCACTTAAATTTATTTTGTTGTGTTTTTGTTATCTTCTAAGCGAGTCAATTCAATCAAATCACAATAAAATAAAAATTACTTAAAGAAGACGGCAAAAAAGGGAATTTTATAATTATTTTGTGTTCAAGGTCTTTTTTGAATCACCGATTCACACGCAAACTTATAATTTTTGCATTGACGGCGACCGAAGTAAAAAAAAAACAGCTAAACACAAAAACTGCGTCGTTCACTTTTGAAAATTGCCACAATCAAATAATTCCGAATAATTTAATTCGGAATGGGAACGTGTTTGAACTTCAAAAATTTCGCATTAACGCCGACACACGTTACGGTCAACATTTCACAACAACAACAAAAATGGCGAAACAAATAATTACTTGTATGACATTTTACACACTTTATTCTGGATACATTTCACGCGCTCATTAATAAATTCGTCATTGCTGCACGAAATTTTGTGAGTTACACATTCTTGAAAAATATGTCTAATTGTTAAATGTGCATCTTAACCTTTTTCGCAGATGAATGAATTCAGATGCTTTTTTTATATATTGATTGCAATCAGTTTAACGAAAGAAATGCGAATGCACAACATTTTTTCACATTTCAACATTAATTTGTTCTCCTTATTTGGATGCATCCATTGTATTTAAATTGTTGTTCATTGTGAAGAAGAAAGAGGTTGTTGAGTCGACGTTAGAAAATAAAAGCACGTACTGTGTGTACATTTTGCAATCTTTATCATTAACATTCTCAAGTGCGGAGAGTATTCTTTGTCCTGTCACTAAGTTCTGATGCTTACTCAACATCTGATAGAATTGTGTACGTTTAATTATGCCGAAATTGTTCAACTGACAACTCAAAGATTCCGCATTCATGTTCATTTCTCTGTTCCAAGTGACCACAACAATTTTGGATAAACGGAGTAAAGTATAATATCAAAAGGCATCGTGATTTCATCATGAGAGTCAAACTCATAACATCACACAATTTTTTTGACGCTTCGTGACTGTTACGTTTTGAAATTCACTAAAATTCATTCAGTTTCAAAAAATGTGAAAAAAAAAAATCGCACAAAAAAGTGAGAGAGAAAAAAAACGTACGAAAATTCATTCATGTGATTTCGTATTGAAAAAATTCATTCATATGTATAGTGATGCTAAATATGGTTTAATTAAATTAACTCATTTTAACAACTAAAGTAATGACAGATTTTTCATAAGAAAATGACTTGATGATAATCAAAATAACGTCTATATATGTTTTAATATTTTTTATTCTACAGGTTGTCGTGAAACGGCTTTTATTTATGCTATAACAAGTGCGGCCGTTACGCACTCGATCGCTCGGGCTTGTAGTGAAGGTTCGATTGAATCTTGCACTTGTGACTACAGTCATCAATCGCGTTCGCCGCAAATGAACAACATGGGTACACCAGTTGTCGGTGTTCGTGACTGGGAATGGGGAGGATGTAGTGTAAGTTGAAATTCGATAACATTCTACTTTACTAATAAATTAAAAAAATTAACATAATATTGATATGAATGTCCGAGAATGAAATTGTAATAAAAATTAATGTCTCTATTTTGTTTTCAATTTCATAAAAAAGGACAACATTGGATTTGGTTTTAAATTCTCGCGTGAATTTGTTGACACTGGTGAGCGTGGCCGCACACTTCGCGAAAAGATGAATCTACATAACAACGAAGCCGGCCGAATTGTAAGTAGAAAAATCCTTATTCGAAACGAAATCAGCTGATTAAAAGATAAACACTTTTGTTCAATTTTCAAAACCTAAACTCAGACTAATTTGTTTGCAGTATGTCTATATTTTCACTAACAAAATGTAATTACATCCATTCATGTTCATAACAAGCAAGTACAAACGAGTATGTTGTGGCGTTTTTTTCTTCTTTTCTATCTCAGCATTTGTACATGCATCGTTGGTAATTAAAGTAAAGTCGAACGGTTTACAGCAAAACGCCTCAATCTAAAATCGTGTTCAGCACTCATCGTTCATGCAATGGACGAGGAAAAATTATCGATTTCGCTGCTATGATTATTCATTTTGCGATCATGTTATTGCTCATTCACCTTAACCGGGGATAAAGAGAGTGCATAGATTGGATCACGAGAGCACAACAGAAACAAAAAAAAAAAATTATGTCGTAAAAATGGCCAACAACAAAATCCGAATAATTAATGTGACTAGTTTTTTAATGCAATCCATGATCAATTCACGATTATGTTTTATCGATATTCCTTAATTGACTTTATGGACGGTTGTTGGTCAGTTGTTATGCATTTTTATGATTTGATAATAACATTGCTCTGTTAATTCTTTTTTTTATATTTTTGTTTCATCTCGCATGCAAACGCACATGCGCACATAATTCGGAGTCTTTAAGTGTTTTGAATTAGTAACTTTTTTCATAGGCAATTTTTCTCTGTGTCTTTTTTCGCTTATCTATTAAGCTGGAGGTGGAATTAATTTTGAGTAGTTGATCTCGCGGTTGCTGCGTGTAAAACCACCCAAGTCGTTTAAATCGGCACATTTATTCATTTAATTTGCGCGTTGTGATTCACGTTTTTTTTTACTCATTCGTTGGTCATATCTTTTTTTTAAATTCTTGTCACGGATTTTTCTGGTCATTTTAATTTTACTTATACTTTACTCGTCGATTAAATCGTTGCGTTGACAGCTGCTAAAATACTCACGTAAAAAAAATGCAGATTTAGTAAAAGCTTGTCAAAATATAAATGTTCAATTGGTCGCTGACTTATTTTGAGCTAAAAATATCTATGCTCACCAATATTGTTGAAGAAAATAATATCAAATAAAATGTTATCAACCAAAAGTCCATTCCAAATTTACTTATCACATTTGAAAATTCAATATTGGTGTACGTATCAATTGAATTTTTTTGTGTGTGTTAGTGTGACGGATTTTGTCTCGTTCTCTTTTTCCACACATTGTGATAATTCGATTGATTCGGTTCAAAAACTACTTAATTTTTATGACTGCTTTCTTTTACATCTCTCTTCACCCTTTGTGATGATATCCGAACAGCAGAAATGAAGCAAGAAAGAACCAAAATCCAAGCTAAATTATGTTGTCTCCGCTCCATTATACCGAACAGAGATAGAGAAAAAGGAAAGAAAGAACGGTATGTGCAGATGAAGTAGCTGGAACAGCATTAAATACCTATAAAGATACGAAATATTGATTACAAATCCAGTTTTCCTCGTTCATTCTCTTTTATTTCGACTGTTACAAAAAATCCATGTTCCGTGGATAATGAATGGCGCGACAGACCATCACCCGTTGTAGTATTGAAGCAAAAAAGAAACGCAAGCACATACATACACAGGCACACACATTTTTTCATTCTGTTCATAAAGCGATGATGCTTCTCACACAGCACACTCCATAGAAATAGAGTAATATATACATATGACTTTGAATGCGTGATAATAATTTAATTTCATTTTAATGGAATGATCAGTCAGGCAACTTTCTTTCGTACAACGTGAGCGCTAGATCGGAATGCATCCGTGTCTATTAGTTAATCTCATCCTCTGATGAAATGAAGAAGAAAAAAAAACTTATCATTGCCGGAGTTGTGACGGAGAAGAAAAAAAATGTGCTCATCGCATGATATCGACGATTGAGTTGAATAAAAACAAAACGCAAATACGAGAAGATCAATGATCTGAATTTTTGTCGTATGCCTCAATTCTATTAGGAATTATTTATGATTACATTTTAGTGTATATATGCAAACGCACACAATCGCTGCCAAATGACAAGCAACAACTGCGCGATTGGTACGATAAACAAAAACATATGATTGCGCGCGTTTACAACATTCATTTACATATTGAATAAATTATTATACTTAAAAACCCCCTGCTGATGTATTTGTGGTCGTCAAGCTCACGCGCACATCCACACAACCACCACTTTCATATAATGTACAAATGCAAATATTCAATACATCAAATATATTTGTAAATTGTAACGTTATTGTGAATTTGAGATGTGTGCTCGCCGAAGAATGTTGCTCGCTGATCAAAAAAGTTTTTTTGCGATTCACTGTGAACCATTTTCAAATCAGAGTGTTTTGCACATATTGAAGATGTATGCGTAAGTCAAACGCAAACCTCTTCCACACTAACCGTGATACCGAAACACGACCATTATAAAATGGATAAAAATCAACCAAAGAGAAAACACACAGCACACACAGTTCACTTCACATAAAGCAATGAAAGCAAGATGAATGGTTTAAATGATAATGAATTATAGCTTAATAAACTCACATTATGCGCTTGATCAATTTATATTTTCGACTCAGAAAAGAATCACATTGAATGGACGAGCATTGCAGTGCTCGTGTATGTACCGATAAAACCGCAAATCATCTAAATAATTTCGAATGAGATGATACCATTTATGATTGGAGTGAATGAGATGAAGATTGTCTATGTGCGGCATTGTACAATCCATGCGATTCATGACTAAGTCTAGAATGCAACAGCAAACCCCTTTTATAATGAACTCATCATCTTTCTGTTTTTGTCGTTACTTCTTTGCTCGTATTTGCGCATATGTTGTGTGGAACATGAAAATAATATGATTTCAACGAAATGAAGACATTTCGTGCTGTTGGAAATTATATATGTATTGATTTTATGAACATGAAAAGGATAAACAAAGTCAAGTTTTTGCATACACTTTTTTGTCTCTTTTTTTTATGAACAAAGAGTGTAAATTTTTTTCAGCAGTATCATCCTTGTAATAAAACCTCTTTGAAATTGATTTATTAAATCTGAATTGTTTTTTTTTTTTCATTTCATTTTCTTCACAGCATGTCCAAACTGAGATGCGCCAAGAATGGTAAGTTAATATTGTACAATTTCATATTTATTTCATAAACTAAATGTTTTTCTCCTTTCAAATTATTTAATACAGTAAATGCCATGGAATGAGTGGCTCTTGTACAGTGAAAACATGTTGGATGCGTTTGCCGAATTTCCGATTGGTTGGTGACAATCTGAAAGATCGATTTGATGGTGCATCACGGGTTATGGTCAGTAACAGTGCACATGGAACCAGCGAAAATGCCATTCAACACATTAGTACCAACAGTCTTCAGTCAAACAATATTGCATCAAGTCCGAACAGCATATCATCAAATTCAATTCGACGAGATCATCATCGACGGAAAAATAATAGGTAAATTTCATAACATTTTTCGATCAAAGAAACGATTCATAATTGCACTCAAATGTGTGAATGTAGTAATCAGACGTGTGAACATTTATTTTCATATGTGTTTATACAACATTGAGTCATGTTTACATCGTTAATTTAGTATCCATAATGGACCATATGTCAAAAAAATATATGAATTATTCATGTTTGTGTTGATGTAATTAACGTTATTATTTCAATTTTCTACTTATGTCATTCGTTCAATAGATATCACATCCAACTGAAGCCATACAATCCCGATCACAAACCACCTGGCACAAAAGACTTGGTTTATATGGAACCATCGCCTGGTTTTTGTACCAAAAATGCACGTCTCGGCATTCAAGGAACAAGCGGACGACAATGTAATGACACATCAATTGGCGTAGATGGATGTGATTTGATGTGTTGCGGCCGTGGCTATCGAACGCAAGAGGTTATTGTTGTTGAACGTTGTTCGTGCACATTTCATTGGTGTTGTGAAGTGAAATGTAAATTATGCCGAACGAAAAAAACAATTCATACGTGTCTATAAACATCAAATTGCTGTATCGTAGGTGTATTCAAAAATTATAGTTACTAGTTACATAGTGCGTACTTTAAGTTGTAAGTCTAGTTTTATGCACATTGCGACACGTGCACGCATTTCGTAAAAGTAGGTGCCGTATTCGAAATTAGTCTGAACGTAGAAACAATAAGGTTTGCGAAAAAAAATATATAAGATTTTGTCTGTATAAAACAAAAGTGACAGTATTAAACACCCAGTGCTTTTATGTCGTAAAAGAAGTAAAGCGAAATCCATACAACAATTCCATTTTTATTGAAATTTTGGAATTTTACTTTTTTTTCACGAAAAAAAAACAAAAAGATGAATAGCGAAAATAACGAAGACTGATTTTTTTGTACATAGTTTTATTACATTTCTTTTCATGTAAATTTACTACAGTCCATTTACGTTCTACTTAAGCGGCGCGGATTTTTCATGTCACTATACAATTAAAAAGATACTTCAGTTCTACATGGAGTTATACGCATCCATAACATTTATATCGATTGAAAACAGATGAAGCAACAATTAAATTATGTGTGTATAATGCATGGTTTAAACTTTCATAATTTAGTTTCTTAACAAAAACTATATACGTAATATTTATATGGAATTGTTGGTATCAGACTGGGTCCGATTTTCATAATGTTCTCAAATGCGACGAAAATTAAACTCCAAGTGAAAATTCTCAAAAGAAGAGACCTTAAAATGAAAGAAAGATAAATGAATGCTTTCGATTGGTTTTGGTCGCGCATAAATCACAATATATACTAGATTCTAAGCAAAGTTAAAAGAAACACAAAAAAATTGTTGATATTTGTACATAAAAAAATACATTTTAAAGGTTAAGTAAGAATAAAAAAAAAATTGCGTACTTCAGACTCTTCTGAAGGCTCTCACGTCGGCGCGCTTCTTGAGTTAATTTAAAATATATATCAATGTATTTATCGCTTAATGTAAGACAAACAAAGTCCAAAATTTGGATGTGAAAATGTGCATTCAAATGTTTGTAACCAACAGTGAACTGTAAAAATATTAATAACATGATAATAACTTTATAATAATTAAATCGTATGGACTATATGAAAAATTTCGATAGATTAGAAACCGTTTAAATGTTTAATTTAAATTAAGTAATTTATATCTAACGAAGTCTTTATATTCTCTTTTTTACGGAATATTTTATAATATTTGCAAAAAAAGATGTAAAAATTTTTTTTTTGCTAAGCATTCATGAGGAAAGGAAACGAAGAAAAAAAAAAATAAAAATTCTGTTCATTGAAGAAAAAACTATATAACGATCATTTTGATTTGATGATAGATTTAAGAATATTCTTTTAAACAGATTTATATAAACCACGGTGACATTTATCAATGCGACGATCAAAGGTAAAGTAAACACGGTCATCTTTTTTTGTTGTTGAGGTAATCTATAACAAAAGAAAACTTTACGATGATTCATCGATCCCCTGTGGGACTAAGCGTCGCGTATTAAGTGTGTTGTTTTGTTTGAAATGCTTGTTGCTTCTACTTCATGTGTTGAAATTTAATTGATCCCGTTCTATCTCTTTTGCTCGTTGCTTTTATCAACAAAAAATGCTACACAAATTCTTGACTTTAATGAGGATTTTAAAAAACCGGCAAAAATATGTACCCAAAGAATCAGGCAAGAGGCAAAATCAATGTGCAAAATATGCTCAGCACAAAACACACCAACTTCACTCACAATTGAAACGAACGAACGAATGAACGAACGAACAAACAGACAAAAAATACCAGAAATAAATTCCAAACAAGAATTTTACCTTTATATCAATTAGCGATTCACTAATTGAATCACTATAGAGAATTTATTCACTTTTTTCAGTTAAATGTGCGCCTTCTGTACAAATGGATTTCTCTCTGTTTCGATTATATCATGTGCTGCGTTTTTGCTTCGGTTGCTTTCAATTGATAAATATTTTCCCATTCATGTTATAGCAATTTATATTTAAATGAATAAAAAACACACTAGGCTATGATTTTGTCTCTCTTTTTCCATTCTATATCCCTCTTTGACTTAATATGCTGATTTTCTGTGTTGAAATTTGAAAGGTTATTTCATTTTGAGTTTTTTCGGTGTTTTTTTTTTTTTGCATATCTGGATAATGCTTTTCTTGATCGAACGACTGTTTTTTTTTGGAGGGGATCGTAATGCCACTCATCGATAAAATGAATTGATTCCGCTCGAATCACTTGTCTCCTTTCGCTCTTTCCCACCGACCACCGACTCTTACAAGAATTGGATTAATTTGGATCATTTTTTGTGCCTCTTTTCGTATCGTCGAGATCTTTTACTAAGCCAATCCTTACGAATGGATGGTGATCGGGGCACGCACTTTGTAAAATGGTAATTTCTCTACATCATTTCACATTAAACTGTAATCGTTTAATTTGTAATCGGTTTCGACACATAACAACATGACTCTTGTCCTCTTCCATTAATTTATGCAAGGAGCGCACATTACATTCACCATTCGATATCATCGACATATCAAACTATATACATATATCAATGAGTTTTGGTATGGTGATCGACCAACATAAAACCGATGGATCGCTGAACAACGGTGTTTTTTTTTTACGGCAATGAAACGAATGAGGTAAGGAAAATATGTTTGAAATAAATTCGGTTTTGTACGTCAATTCATTTTCGTTGAACCTCAATATTTCGGACGAAAACTCCACTGATATGTAATTTAATACGATGGTTTTATTTGAAATAAAACCCATGGAATTTGTCTCGATGTTCTCATAATAAAACATAAACATTCCATTAATGAACTTAATCGGCTATCTACACCAACATTCGCAACTACCTTTTCGATCATCAAACGATTACTATCCAATACTGTTGCTGCTGCTGTTGATGATGAATTTGCCGTTTTTTTTTTAAACTAAAACTGAAAGAAAAAACTAAAGGAAAGGTAAGTTAATCTTGACTCGGTTGACATAATTGTTAAATTGAAAGAAAATCATAATTAATTAGGATTTAATCAATCCACATTCTGTGCATTGAATCAGAAAAGGGCGAACGATAAGTCATCCGATTTTAATATTTAAGATTTGGCGTTTCATTGAGAATCATGCCAAATTTTCCGTAACGGAAAGACACACACACATATACTACTATTTCAACGTTTTACCGTTCATTTCAGTAGTGAATGCTTAAGCAATACCAACAAAATGTGATATGGATTTTTTACAAATAAAATTTTTCACATTTTTTTCTCTCAATAGAAAAAAAGTGGGATAAAACGATAAAACCAAAGAGAGAATGATCAAAATTATTGTTTTGTGCTCTGTTTCTGCTTGTATTCGATGTGGCTTGAAATTGGCTGCTCAGAAATGTACGTGAAACGTACTCGAAGAACATTGGCATGCAATGAAATAACGATGGAAAAAATGCATCCAATTAAAATTCTAAATGTTGTAAAATTTCTGTGGCAGCTCTGCGGCAAAGTTGTACACAACATCAATTTGCTCTTTTGATACCACAATTTGATTAATTTAGCGTATTTGCCAAGGATATGGGGAAAATTTACAAAACTACTCAATGGAAAAATTTTGTACATGCATTTTTCCACACATTCGATACAAATACAAAGGTATTTCACATTTCAGATTTCTTTTTTTTTTGGCTCTTGCTATTCAGACACATCTCGTAAGCATAGCTACCTATCCGAGTTGTAGTTATTAACACGAACAAACGGCATGCACAGGAAATCTAGAATATTTTTACACTGAATTAAGACTACCATAAAAGTCCAAATCTAATTTTGGCTTATGTGCTCTTTCCATGTATGGTTATCAGTCACAACGGTTTGCCAATTTCATTTATTGCTGTTTCTCCTTTTTCAAAGTGATAACATATATATTCGATTGATAAAACGTCTGATTACACTTAAAACAATATAAACAAATACATATATCGCAAATTCCTATTCAAACTGCAACTTTTGCGCATAAATTATTATCAATGCACCTTTCTAAAAGGCGATGTTGTGGACAGAAGAAAATCTACAGAATTTTTTACTCTTTATCTTACACACCGTAAAAAGAAGATATTTCATTTACTCTAACTGTATTTGCTTTGGCGAAGCGATTGGAATCACTGATAAATTGAATTTATTTCAGAAAATATTCATCTAATTAAATGAAATAGAAATGAGAAGACTGCAATTGATTTTTGAAGTCATACATTTGTTAAACGGAATAAAAAGAGATTGTTGTCAAAATTTGAAGTTTTGTTATTACTTTTGTTTTTTTGTTCATTACTGATTGAAATCATTGGAAATGTTGAATATTTTCGTTCAATTTTTCATGAACCGTATTTTTGAATGGAGACACACAATTCATAAGGACGTCACTTATAAACAGAGTTAAACCGAATCAGAAGCATGTTTTTTTATATATTGAAAAACGTTTTCACAAAAACATTGGCAATGTATTTGCTTTTTTCGCGATCTGGGTCGCTCTTTCAGAAAGAAAACGAACACTAAACATAAAACAACACAATTTGGCTTTCGATTCACAGGCAATATTATATTGTGACCGTGAGAAACATTTTCGAAATTACAATTTAAAGAATTTCGGCTTTTGTGTATGTTAGCGGATAGCGATTGCAACAGATGGAATTTGATACACGCTGATCAATTGAAGAAAGAGAGACAAATAGATCGCACAATGTACAGGAACACGAATCCTGCAGGTTTGCGTTTTTATTCTTTCAGACGTTTGCTCTGCATAAAAGACACGAGCCCCAACGATTTGAAGCAAAAAAAATCTACATTAATTGGTAACAAAATAAAATTGGTGGGATCTATGAGGAATTGGAATTTTATGTCATTTGAGTTGTGAACAAACGTTGATATCATATTAATTTTCATAAAAACATAATGCTTAAAAAAATTCCCAGTTCAAGCTACAAATCATGTAAATGGCCTGCAGTGGCAATAAGTTCATAAAGATGTAACTTTGACTTCATTTAATCATTGAAGTTTTACAGTTTGATTTCATTAAATAAGTCTCAATTAAGTGGAATTATGAGTTTTTATCTCTTTTTGCTTAGACTTGTCATGTTTATTGATTTTTTTTGAAGACTCTTTTACGACTACCACTAAATAAAGCGATAAAAAAGATTCAATTTCTCATGAGAAGATCCATTAATTCTGTAGCGAAATATCAATTAATCGATTAACAAATGCAACCAGAATGGATGTATTAAATTTAGTTATTGACTAAGAAAATTACGAGTTATAAGAGAATCGAAATGCAAAGTCAGCCCATAATTAAAACAACTAAACCAAAAAAACATCACTAAGTGCATCAAAGTGAATGTCATATTTTAACAAGATATGATGAACCAACAAAAATGATTGAAAAAAAAAAGTTTTTATTAAATTTCATTATCAATTTATGGCGAATCACTCAATGGATTTAATTCAAAATATAAAAGTGATACTAATGTCTTCTTCGAACTTCGAATGTGAGAATTTATTATCTTTATTTGATTCTTTGGCTCCTTTTCACTTTCATATCAAACCGAATTACATTCGGCAAAAATGAATCACGAACAAACGAAAGAGAGAAGAAAAAGAAAACCAGAGAAAGCATTGCGAAGCTCTTTGATGCAATGGCTTCTTTTACATTGAACAAAAGAAAATTATTATATGAAAACGTCATGGTGCATTAACATTCTATCGATAGGATTGATTTTTACGCTGAATTTTTGTATAGGTATTTCTTTAGTGCTGTCATTGGCTCAAGTCAAGTCGAGTCATTTTCAACACAGAATTCATTCATTGTTTCATCTGATTTTAGATTTCCGCTCTTACCTCGTGTATCTTGGGGGACGGTATTGTAATGGGTCAACATTTTAAGACACCTCAAAACATACATGGGCACGAAAACACCTAAGGGGGTCCATCAAAAACCCTAGCAAATCGAAATAATTTTACCCGATTTTACCCATCTCGCACAAAATTGAAGAGTACACCGTGCGGAAAAGTTCATCTTTGTACTTAGTAAGACT